AACACACTAAAAATAGAAAACCAACTGCTGAATGTACAGAGGTGTAATATGTGCGTCAAAGAACTAGGTTACAATGAGATAAGTGTTTGTTTTAAGTCTTTGGATTCGTTGACTTACTTTATATTGGCTTAACCAACAATGGAATTTTGTGTATCTACAATAATACAAAGAACTAGGTTACAATGAGATAAGTGTTTGTTTTAAGTCTTTGGATTCGTCGACTACTTTATATTGGCTTAACCAATAATGGAATTTTGTGTATCTACAATAATAGTAAAAATGGTGCTGATAATATTGCTTTAATAACTTTCGGTAAATAAGAAATATACCGAACTCACACCCAGTTTTTCAGACTTTCAACATATTTTATTTGTATTTTTATTGCATGTATAATCAGACAAGTTAAAATACCTTCCAATATTTGTGTTTTTGTTTGTACGACCAACCATTATTCCTATAAAAATGTGCTAATGTAAAATTCTGTGCTTCCGTCAAATGAATAATGGCTTCTACTCTTGTTTTTGTGTGACATGAGACTCAATCTAGTTTAGAGTTTCATTTGTTTCTTTGTAATTAAACAGAAAGCTACACAATGGGCCATCTGTGCTCTGCCCACCACGGGTATCGAAACCCGGATTCTAGCGTTGTAAGTCCGCAGACATACGGCTGTGCCACTGGGGGGGGGGCATCTAGTTTAGAGCTTTATCTCTTAAAGTAATAGTTTCTGCCTTGTATAATATTCAATGAGGGTTTATAAAGATAAGTCTATCCCATGTGAGTTTATTTTATTTAATTTTTGCAAATGTTGTTGTATAAAAACATTGATGTTCAATAACTTAACAAGATAATGTTGTTTCCGAGGTCTAGGAAACCTTTCAAAGTGTAATGTTGTGAAACGATAAACAAAAATTAATTCAACCTCTTATTTGGAGTTCTAGCGCTTTGTTCTGTTATTTGATGTTTCAAACCTTTCTGCTCTAACGAACAAGGTATCTCAAAATGAGTACACGCTGGTTCATATCGACCCGACAAAAAAAAACAGATATTTAATAGCGTAGGGTTCCACAAAAACACAACTTTCTTGTCTCTTTCTTGATACACTTTGTTACCTGCACGCTTCCACAGACACGGGTTAATTGCAGTAAAGGAGTAAAGTAAAAGTTCCAGGTCATTGCTCATCAAACATTTTCTGTTGTCCGTTAATTATCTATATGCCGCGTTCACCCAGTTAAATCTTTGGAATTTCCGGGTTTCTAAAAGCTAGGTATTGATATAATTTATAATTAATAGTTTTCTTCCGCAATTATTGGATTTTCTTTTAATTTAAATAATATACGGAAGTATAGATTTGCATGATAAATTCTGTAAAGCACAAACTTCCTGTATTTACATAACGTTGTTAGAGGTTCTACTTCTTAAGTACTTACGATACGGTTGTGGTGATCGGATACCAAGCGTTGTCATGGGTAATAGTCTATACATTCTCATAAATCTAATTATTAATTAGTAACCTTATGCTTTATTTATTAGATGCTAATTAGTATATAATTAATGAATAAGTAATAAATTAATGATAATAAGTAAAATAATAAGTTAATGATAATAAATAAAATAAAACAATTGATAATGATGAATAAATAAAATAAAACAATTGATAATGATGAATAAATAAAATAAAACAATTAATAATGATGAATAATTAAAAAAAACTTTATTAATTAATAATTATATTTAGGTTAATTGTATAGGTTACTAACCATGACAACGGTTTTCTTACTTGTTGAGTATGGTATTTCTTGACATTGTTTTACATACATATCTAAATCTTATCGACATGGTTATCCAACAAATGAGATCATGAAGAAATGAAGAAATTGAGGTTGGTTCCTGAGCAGAAAGCAATTCATTACACCGAGAGTGTCACATTCTTTAAACAATCTTTCTTTGAGCATCTCAAATGCACGGTACTGATAACCCAAACCTTACTAGTATTTTAGTTTGTTAACATCGATCGTTTTTGTAACTGTTGCAGGCTTTTGTTGTTTTTGATATGAGGATATGCACCAATGTAATTAATTGTATTAACGCTTAATAGTATTTTCATGTTGCTTTATTGATAACGTTGGGTGGATCCTAACATCAAACGTTCATTTTTCTCCTTATGAAGAAAGTTCCATTTTTCGAAAGTTCTCGGGTTATAGGATTATTTAACACTAAAAGATTAATGTTTTCATACGTTTTGTATGCAATTATATATTAATTTTTTCTTCATGGTTAGTTTTGGTAAATATTTTTATATTACAATATTTAAAGTATTTTTAAATTAATTTCATAGTTATGGAGGTTATTTTTCTTTGTTAGCTTAGTGTATAAATTTACAACTAACTTAAAGCTTCTCAAGGCTGAACATTGTGGACATTATTAGGGTTATTAACGTGGGTGTTCAAACGATTAATTTCTTCTCACAATAGGTTTTAGTGTTCAATATATTAACTAATTTCATGAAGTATTTTTAATTGGTTTATTAACCGAATTGTCGTTGTCGTTATTATTTTCGCAATCTACTTTTTTTAGTTTTGATGTTTTTGTAAGCTAACTTTAAATCATAAATATTAATAATTACTAACATCCATTCTACTTTTTCTGTAATTACAAAGTTATTTTTTTATTCTAGAATACAACCATTGAAGGAAAGTTCCATATTACTTACAGGAATTTCTTCCTCACACGCGTAGCCGTTTGTATAGCTTTATGCAAAAATTCTGTAACAAACTTTCTTGTTTGTCGGTTTGTTTTAGCGGAAAGCTACACAATAGACCGTCTGCACTTTGTTCACCACTGGTAGTCAAACCCCAGATTTTATCCTTATAGGTTCGTAAACATACCGCTGACCCTCAGGGTGTCACAAATTTCCTTCCACATGGTCAAAGTAACAAACAACTCCTCATTGCTCAAACCTTCTATATTCAAACAAAGTATTATTTAACGGTACTCATTTCCTGTACTTCCTTTCGTTAAAAGCTGGGGTTATTTGCTATTCCTAAACAAACGTTCCAGATCACTTCTAAAATATAAAATGAGAAATATTCGTAAACGTTGTTAAAATATTATTACTGGCTTTTAAGTATTTTTCTAACAAGTGGAGCAGTTTAATCGTAACACACACACACGTCCACAGGGGTCACACCAAATACACACACCCCTAGAAACCAATTAACAATATCAGATATTAATACGACTAGAATGTGACGGGTTTTATATATCAACAAGCTGAGGTACTCGTCCTTTGTCCCCCCCCCCCAGTGGCACAGCAGTATGTCTACGGACTTACAACGCTAGAAACCGGGTTTCGATACCCGTGTTGGGCAGAGCACAGATAGCCCATTGGGTAGCTTTGTGCATAACTTCAAACAAACAAATCTTTGTCCGGATTATGAACTTAAAAGTGGCCAAAGTAACGTATGTGTGTTTTCTGTTACTCGCTTTCAACACCAAATTTTTAATGTCCTTCCACAGTATTTCACGTGATTGATTAATTGATGATCATCGGTCGCAGAAATCTTACGGGCCGAAGTTGAAAGGTCACGGGTCAAAGTAATAAGTGGGTATAACTCAAGAAACGTCTCTTCATACCAGTCTTATGGTGGTTGTTGGAGTTAATGTTCAACCGAGTTAATGTATTATTGAAATAGTGGCGCACTCTCTGAGATATTTAAGACATTTGTGTGCCCTCTCCCCACACTGTGTATGTGTTGTGTTATAGAAAATTTAATAAAGTTTTTTGTTGTTGTAAGGACGTAGCGCCATCTATGAATGTAGTAAACATTAACTTAAGTCAAATATAATAAATACTCAATGACAACAATAATAGGGGTAGAAGGGCTATGAACACTCATTAACATGCCCCGTATTCCAAACTATCATCCAATAAAGTTTGTTTGGGATTAGCCTAGCGACCTAGGAGTAGTTAGATAACGGACAGACAAACACAAATATTTGTGCTTTCTATATACAGATGACCAACAATGTCATTAGTAATGCTTGGAGACGGCTTGAATGGGTAATGAAGAAAAAAATAATATAAGTTTAACATAACAGCAAATGATGACAAAACCTTGTCGAAACGTTGTACATTTGCTGTTATGTTAAACTTATATTAAAGTTTTTCTTCATTACCCATTCAAGCCGTCTCCTAGCATTAGTAGTCTCAAAGTGTGTTGCTCGTCATCGAATGTCATTAGCAGTTAAACCAAAGTTTAACATGACCGAGCACAAAAAGTGACGTCACGCTTTCATTTCTTCACTTACAATTGTTGCCCTCTCTCTCTCCAATAGCTATATAACTGCTTTTTATTATTACATCTCCTCCTGTCAAATTTGCTTTCATCTCACAAGAGAAGAAATATTTGAAATAAGAAAAGGAAAACAAAAACTCGCATCTTATGTTACAGAAAAAAATATCAGTTAGAAAAACTGATACATGGTCTGTGAGTGACATTCTGGAATCATGGTCTTTGATTGATTGAGAAAAGCAGTAAAAACAGAGACTTTTTAGACACGAACATATTTTTAGATATAATTCTGAACTCAAGGACAAGAGAATTGACTCTTGTTTCTATTACATGCAAAATATGAAGCAATTCTCAAGATGTAAGATGTTGTCCTCTACTTATTGATGCTTTATAATTTAATGATTGCTCGAAATCCTCATCTAAAATAGCTAAAAAATTCCCTGACGACAAGTTATTCTTAGAGTAGACAGGTTTTGCAAAATACCGTGATAGCGGAACTAATGCATCTCGTGATAACCTAAAGGCATATTTTATTACATCAATAAAATTAAAATCTGAAATTCTAGAAAGTTCTACACGAAACGTA